GGGGGGGGGGGGGATACTGGGATACGGCAAAAGTTGAAATGACACTATCTGAATCATTTCTGGATATTTGTAACTCAGCTACGGTGAAATCTTACAATATGAGGTGATTTTAAAATAATTTTTTATAGATAGGGCCTACCCTGTTTATAAAGTGGCTTTTCCTTTAAATAATTTTATTTCACTATTAATGGACCGGGTTTATTAATCACGAGGGTTTTATTTGTTAACCAATCAATTTCTTTTCGTATCTTTTCAATAGAATTATTATTAAACATATCGTTTAGGTCACTGATTTACAAACTTGTGCAATTTTAAGTTAGAAAACAATTTTAAAATGGAGATAGATTAAATCCGACTTTTTACATGATCATTCATCGACAATCTAAGATAATTTTAACAGCTAACAGCTATTTCACGACCAGTGAATGGCAATTTTAGACAATATTAGTTTTAAGCCAGGTGGATAGGTAACTGAATAATAGATAAGATTCCAGGTTACGACTATTCTATATTGATTGACAATATTAACCTTTGGAGATCCTACTGGCTGTCAGGTATAGGCTACTGGTGCGTGTCATACCAAATTGATTAACAAGAGTGAAAAGCAGGGGGTTTCCCAGTAAGTGTACCCGGTATTTCAAAACATCTTTCATTGACACAAAAATGATCTAGAACTCGACATCTTTGAAACATTCGTTATAATATTGTAATATACCCCACCTCAAACAACATCATAAAATGATAAGACATGAACAAAAACAAATAACCAGGAAGTTTAAATGAATAACTAACATCCGCTGCCAAAATAAGTTTAATTTCTGCCAACAATTCACAGGCACTCTCAATTGAAATATTTTGACCGAAGGTCGTTGGACCAGAAGGTCGTTTTTTAGCGTTAAAGCGTTTTGCCATAGCTGTTATTGGTAAGAATGATGTTCATTCACATATAATCTATTCACCATTAACGGGCAAAATCTTTGACCTGCCACAGTACTTAATTAATAAAAACCACTTCTTCGCCCTCATGTCTTAGCTCCTAGTACCCTCAGCTTAAAATCTTTTCTTCCTACAACACTTGATTTCACTACTTGACGTTACACAACACAATCATAATACAGGCCTCACAAACGGATTAGACGTTTGTGTACTCGAGCCTCAGATTTGTGAGCACGAATGTCCAAATTAAAGAGTCGAGCCACGAATTGAATAACCGAACGTAAAATTAATAGCCACGAGCACAAGGTTCCGACACGCAGCCGCTCTGACGCTGTCTTCGTGTCTACTAATTTTGCGTTGGGGTACTGGAGTTGTTAATTTGGACATTCGTGCTCCCAAATCTAAGGCAATTAATTGGTACTTGTAGCATACGGCAATTATCGTATATGAGGCCTGTGTACAGCCCCATTTTGCAACCATTTTTTTCTATGTCCATGAAACGGTTTGAAGAACGAAACAGGTAGGCTAGGATTGGAATGTGGATGGGTTTGCCTCGACTAGGAACAACTGGTGGATTACAATCTATGGAGATGATTTTATCACCGCCCATTTTAAGTAAAAAAAAAAAAAATCTGGCAACTGCCTCAGTGTCACGTTTGTTATAAATCTGTACCAGTTGGATGTTGGAAGTTCCCAATTAATACAGCTGTTTAATAGGGCAAAATCTAGTAAAAAAAATTAATAATAATACAATTGCTAAATACCAGTAGAGCAAAGACTTGCTTATAAGAATAAATGTAGCATTATAAAAACATTGCAAGTACAAAGATCGATGCAATAATGTCATAAATTTATTCAAAATCATTGCAACCAAAAATTGAAGTTGTAAAAATATGAGTTTTAATAGAAATTAAAAAATTAACTTTGAGATAAATTTCAGTTCGAAATAAACAAAAAGTTATTTTTAAAATATGGGGGAAAGTTAAATGGAATTGGTTTTCACACCTTAATTTACTTTAAAATCTGGTGGTTCAAAGATAATTCAACTTTTCTTTGTCATTCTTAATGTTGTGAACGAAGGAATTCCATAGCTCTAAGCGTTGGTTTTCTTAAGCGTCAAGGTTTACGTTTACCAGCTAGGCATCAACATAAGTTAAATATATATCTCTGAGTGCCCTTGACTTATTAGATTCTTTTATTTTGCACAGTAGTGCACCCAGGGCCAATCAGGACAAGTTATTTGACAACACACTTAATGTCACGTTAATAGTTAACGGGAAATTTGAGCCTGTCAAGATGGATCTTGATTAATGACCAGTGTTGCAGTTTGAATATAGTTGATATGCTTCACCCGTCTGTGAGGCACTCTCCAAGCCTCTCTGATACACGTAAATACTTCAGAACTTTAGGAATGTTTTTTACAAATAAACTGTGAACATTATCAAAATCAAAATCAAAAGGTTTCATCCCAGATTTATTAAATTAGCAATTTCCAATAAATAAATAAATAAATAAATAAATAAATACATACATAAATAATTTTTTAAAAAATAAATAAAATAAATAAAATAACCCAAAATTTCTAAAACTAGGGCCTCTTTTGTAACATGACTACTGACAACAAACCAGCGTAGTTATTGACTTGAATTTTTTTTTTTTTTTTTTTTTTTGCAGGAAACATTTTTTTTCAATCTAATATCATTGTTTTTATAATGCAATAAGAATGCTGAAAATTGTCTTCATCGGTTTTTTATTCACTGTGACAGATGCACACATACATACCATTGTATTATTTGTAAAATTAGCACCTAAATCTTTATTTTAAAATATCCATAAAATAAATGTTTTTTTTAAATTGAATACTTTTATTTTGTACATAAAAAGCTACAAAAACAAAATCAAATTTTGTTCTGTAATCTCAAATGAAAAACACTAAATAATTATTACAAACTAAATTTTTACATGGATAGATCCAGCATTCTGAAATTTATGTTGTGCAAAACTTAGGTTACAATGTATAACACTTCAAAGATTTTCAATAAGGCAAGTATCATCACTTTAATAATCTCCATCCAAAGGATCAATTTATTTGAGTATTGATTCACAGACAAAGTATAATATTATATATAGAAGACTCAAATATCATGAAATGTAGGGCACCTTTCCAAAACCAGTAAATATTAACAGGAAATTGATCACGTTCACATTTGCATACACACCTGCTGAATAGCTATCAAATGTAATAAACAGGACTCTATGAGGTTTATCAAAAATATACACAAATGATTTCACCAAATCGACAAGATAGAGCAGTATTTCTCGACTATTCAAATGCAGGCGTGGCAGAGATTTTTATCATACTAGTAAATATATTATGACGAATTCCTTGTATTGCTCATGACAAATGTGTTTCTCTGAAGCATATCTAATGCAAATGAGATATGACAAGCCCAGCTTATTGCACAATTATTAGATAATTAAAACATGGCCAAAATGTACAGCATGTAATTACAATCACTAAATATGTGATGAAAAAGCTGTTTAAGATCTGAACAGTGTATGCATATGTAACACTCCTACTGTATATATAGATATACTGTAATTGCTTACTTTAATAGATTAAGACAAGAACCTAAAACTGTCATTTCAATGAGTCTAATTAATATTTTACAGCAGAATGACAAGTAATTCTGTCATTACTGATTCTCATACATTACAAAGAACGTATACCTCTAAAATCAGCCATGCATATTTTTATCCAGCTAAAATTTTACATTTAATAACTACTGAGAAATATCTTAAATGCTTTAACAAACACATATCACACAGTTTAAGTATGTACATTATCAAGCACACATTGACATGCATTGACAATAATTAACTTNTAAATAAATAAATAAATAAATAAATAAATAAATAAAAGACACAATGAGTCTATTCCACACAACTGCCTTGCATCCCGACAATAAACTAATATATAAGCTATGGGAATGGTCTTTGGATATTTCACTGGTCCAATCTCATCATCAAACATAGCTTATAAAATGACAGTGGTTGGTGATTTACATCTTCTCAAAACACTCTCTTGTTTTCTGCCATACTTCTATGCCCTAAAATATAAAATGGCATCTTAACAATATGTTCACTTTATAAAGATATAAACACATGGCTTTTATCATTAATCAAGATGAAACTTAAGAGAGAGAGAGAGAGAGAGAGAGAGAGAGAGAGAGAGAGAGAGAGAGAGAGAGAGAGATGGTAGGTAGCCTGAAAATCATTGTTAATTTTTCTTTTTTTTCACAATTTTGAAGTAATTTAAAATTTACCTTTTTACATCTCTCAATCTGAAATAAGGCATAATTGGTGAAACTCTCCTTCAAGTCCTTGACCTTCTGTCTCTGGAACCTCTCCAAATCCTGCAGTGCATCTTTAACAAATTCTCTGCAAATAAAACAATGGGTATTAGACCTTAATATCGCCGACATTTGAAAATCTCCAGGAAATGTTATAAGTCTTAAAATATTTTAATTTCTAATTATTTCTTTTTTGGTTAACATATTTAGGTAACTTAATAAACATAACTCTTTTGTTGAGCATTTTTAAACCCGAGTATACCATCCCCACAAAATAAATAAATAAATAATGATAAATCTTATCTAGGGCATGCTTAACCTGAAACTTAGAAATTCTAATGTAACTTTTGTGATATACGGAGAGGCAGAAGGATTTTCCACTTTACCTGACCTGCTTTAATTCACACTTTATTATATCAATAATCTTTCACAAAATCCTGACAAAATAAATATATTCCTAAATTATGATCTATTTCTAGTTTTAGTAAGTTTGATAAGAAAAATTCTGAATGACAAATAGTTTGTGTAAAAAACTGTTTCTGGGCATTATATATCTTGTAATATATTAAAATGTTTGAAACAAGTGCTTTCCACTGTCTGAAACCAAAAGAAGTAGTGGTGGAGGAAACAAAGGCTTAAATTCTACAAACACTGATGCAATATGGAGAATTTACAGAGTTCACAATTCTAGTATCAACAAAGGAAGGACAGAAGAGCTCTGTACCATACCTTGCCTCCTCTGTCTGTGTCTTGACCTGTGCCTCTGCTTCCTTGATCTGTTCATCCAAAACTTTCAGCTTCTCTTCTCTCTGCTCTGCCGTGTCTCCTCCAAACAGTTTGCTCTTCAGTCCAGTCAATGACAAACCCGATGTCTTACCTTCTGCCTGGTAAACGTAAAATAAAATGTACTCATAAGTTCCACATGGATTAGTCCATAATTTGCATAGGTTTGTAAGAGATTCGACTGCAGACTTATTCAACATTAGTTATTGTGAAGCAGTGTTAGCTTTCTATCCTTAACAAAAAAAAAAAAAGTTTAATATAATCATAAAACAGATAAATTTATTTATTTTTTTTATCTTCATGTTTATCAAATCTCACAATCTTCATATTTATCAAATCTCACAATAAGATACCACCTACCAGCTGGTCCCTCTGATTCCTTTTATAAGTTAAGTTTTCCTCAGCTTTCTCCATGTTGAGTTGAGCAAGCTCTTGTCTCCTGCAGACGTTCCTTACAGCATCACAGAAAGCATAATACTCCTTCAGTTGATCTGCAAACTGTTCTTCATCCTCTAACAGAGCATCTATGGATGAAGCATACCTGAAAATACAAGGCAAAATCCTTTTAAAAGGCTTGCAGGGATGAGACTGCCACTTAGTGAAAAAGTTGGAAAAAAATGGGGGCCGTCTAGGCCAATGATATTTTTTAGCTCCCAAACAGTCGGAAATCTGCTGGTTGTCCCTTGTTTCTGTTGCATGAAGCAAATGAAAGATCTTACACTCCATGGAATGGATACACACTTGGTATCCATCTACAGGCCTGGGCAAAGAGAGGCCCTGGGCACAGAGCATCTTATTTAAGGCTGCCAGAGAGACTGGTTTCATGCAGTATTGTATTAAAGTTCTGTAATGTGGCAATGCAACAGTCTCTCAATCCAGTAACAAATGCTATTTTGCTTTCAAAAACACTGGACTGGACATAGGAGAAAAAGGACACAGAAAAAATTACTGGGGTAGCGCTAACACTCGCCAGTTTAGCCAAATGCTTAAATTGGCTATAGAAAAAGGGCCTGATTTTACTTGTTTTAGCCAAATTCTAACCATTTTGATAAGAAATTGACAAAAATGTGGTGATTTGGCTAAGCAAAAAAAAAAAAAAAAAAATTGCTAGTGCTACCCCAGAATTAGATTGTTCTAAATAACACTTACACGTCAACAAAATGTCCAGCACTTTGTAAACCATCTGCCATTTCTTTCTCAAGAGCACTCCACTCACTGAAGACACGGCCGTAGTTGGCATTAACTTTGTGATATGCATACAGCCTGTCACATAATTTCTAAATGAAACAAAAAACCAAAAAATAAACCTATACTGACAGAAAGTGGTTACATATTATAATCTGATTTTCAAAATGTGTAGTCTGGCACTTTCTAAAATGAAAAGCATTAAGTTTTTTTAATACAGTTATGTGGATGTATGCACATGATACAGATATGAAGCATGTCTTTCCTATTTCAGACAGTAAAAGAAATGTAAATGAACAATCTGTGAGAGAGAGAGAGAGAGAGAGAGAGAGAGAGAGAGAGAGAGAGAGAAACTTACAGCTCTAATTTTCAGTACATTTCCAATGTGAGACTGCAACTCATTGCTGTAACTCTTCATTTCTTCAAACCTGGAGTCTGGCTTCTTAATTCTATAGGAAGCACTCAATGTTCGCAGTTTTGAATCACCCTAAATTACAAATATGATTATAATAATGCTAAATAATAATCCATTTATATGTATTACTAATTGGAAAGCACAATTTTCATTTTAAAGATAAAGTCAACAAGCAACTTACCCTAAACTCTCAGCAATTTGATTAAAACATAAAAGCATACCTTTGCTTGGTATCCAGTTTCAATTAGTTTTTCTCTCCACCCCTCTTCCTAGAACAATCAACACATAATGATATAAGAAGGGAACTTTTCTCGTAAGGCATATGATCAATAGGGAACTCCGAAGTCAGTTACATTCATACATACAACTAAATGTATGGTATCTCAATAAGCTAGAATTGTTTGGCTAACTGAAGAAAGAATGAAAATTATCTACTCTACAGTTCTGATTTTTTCCAAGAGTACAGAGAATAACAATTTAACTGTAGGCTGGAAGTGGAGATAGGCACAAATGAACTGGAATGACACTGATTATAAGAACTATTTCTTTACAACACATTATCCCCAAAAACTGTACTTGTAAATTTGTATATCAATAATAATTACTTTTAGGGAAGAATTTGGATAAGGTTATATTATTATGACTTTGTGAAATGTGACAGACCTGTTTGAGAAAATCCCTGAATAATTCATCTTGAGACATTAATGGGTGAGATGCTACTCTTAAAACAAAATTCTGAAAGAAAAACATGAAACACTTAATTATAATAAATGAGCAGTATAAATCTGTTCTTCTTCTTTTCAGAAATACTGAAGTTGCAGTGCCTTCCTTTATATATGAAGAATTCCATCTTTATCAATCCTTGATAAACAGTTTTTGAAATCATTAACTTTACATATGCATATGAGAATGATCACTGTAAATGGATGACTTACCTCTAAGCCAACTCTCCTCCTCTCAATAAATTCTGGATCAAATTTATCTGTAGTTGACTTCTGCCAAGTGAATGTGGCCTGGAAAAAAAGACATTTTAATCTGATTATTATTTATTTCTTTTCAATCAATTTCAAGCAATCTTTATGAAAATACCCAACTCAGTTCATGTGCATATGTCTTAATGCATATATGCTTGTGTGTTTGCACATGCAACTATACGCATGCACCACACACTCATCAAAGATTCAAGAGGAACAATAATGAGAAGCATATAACTCCGAGACTGAAAACTTATATTAGCAACTGACCAACATTACAGTTCCAACCTTTCACTAGGTAAATGACCTGGATGGACTGGTCAAGAATAATAACCATAATGACTCATGTTGAAAACTAAAAAAAGCGTTCCTTTCTATATAATTGAATAAGCAAAGTTTACCTTCTTTTCTGGTAGAGGAGGCACAACCACAAAAGGGTACATGACTTCTAAGTAGTTTCTCAGCATTTCAAACTCACTGTATCTTCTCCATATAGAAGTAGGTGGATCACCATAACCTTCTACTGTTTCATCAGTTATTCTAGAAAATAAAACATGGAGACCAAACATAAACAATAAAACACTCAGACCAATATAAGATTGCAAGGATTTTTGTGAATATGCTTATAAAACAAACATAATCTTATTATAAAAAATTGAAAATACAAATAATGCTCCTCAAATCTCCACCTTGGAAGTGTTTTTTAAGTACTGTTAAAAATAAAAACACTGATAAAATCATACATTCTAAACTAATTAAAAAGACCATACTTTTACTGTAGAATTGAAATAATAAATAAATAAATAAATAAATAAATAAACGGTAATAACAGTAGCCATTTGAAATAACATCAAATTCCTCACTTTGTTTCTATCAGATAGACCATGTATGTCTCCTGCATCTTCATGGAGATCCCAACACGCCTCTCGGGTTCTGACAATGTGATCTCCATCCATTTTAGTAAGTTTTTCTATAAAAATTAAAGGAGAATTGCCATATGCCTATAACCCTAACAACTTTCTGTCATTAATTACACACATTTCATAAGGCTCCTTTTCACTGTCAATTTTTCAAAAAAGCTGAATATATTGGGATTCATTGAATCAAAATAATTGCGAAGTCTGACTTTGAATAGGTGTTTGACCCTGCTGAATCCATAGACTGGTATCCACTCCCTACGAATCATAATTAGATTTACTTGTACTAATTGAATACAATGTCACATGTTTTTTTTTTACCTTAGGTTCACTCTTTGGTAATGCTTCTCCCTCCTCTTTGCTATCCACCATTATGTCTTGTGAATAGACTTCGTTCTCCCCTTCGTCGGCCATCTTTGACATTTAGTACCCACTGACATTTTTGATGTCGTAATACCTATTATTGTCGTAATATTAGTAAGAAGCTGCTCTTATTGTGATGATAATTAGCGTGATGGTAACTGATAAGAATAAGAATAAACTGATAAGAATAAAAGAAATACTAAGAATGATAAAAATACGAAGTTCCATTTAAAGTACGTAAAAGGAGGAAAATTAATGGGGGCGTGGCAAAGCCTCTTGAGAATACACACATCAACAGAAGCAAGATATGCCATAGAAAAAACTTGCAACTTACAGTTGTCTTGGTCTGTTAATTATTTTCTATTAGCCTTTCTTTTTTTTTTTTTTAAATGATTTTTCAAGTCCAGGACACGTTAAACCAAATGTACTGAAACTCAGGTACATGTTAATCAAAGCTACGAGTCCTACATGCGCTTCAAATACAGAGGAGTAAAATGACGCATCTAACGTGTTCCTCATAAAACTAGCTATAAGAGTGAGGTTTTAAAGTAGTTTAAATAGTTGGCTATCTCTTCATTAAGTCAGAAAAACCTGAATGTAGATGATGAGAATTTGAGGGGGCATGGTATCAAACGTGGTAAACGTCAAAATTACTCCAAAAAGCTCTTAACATTGCCTTGACACATCATAGATTTGTTCATTAAGTATTTTTTTTCTTTTCATTTTTTAAACATTTTTTATGTTTCAGGCATTGCAAAATAATACCACAATTATCCACATTTAATTACGTTACTATTTATGTGAAATCAGTAAAGGTCTTTGGTAATCACACATTCAGGCCAGTACAAGTAACTATAATTTTTTATCAAGGCAATATAATATTTCTAGTTTAAAAGTGCCTACCAAATTCAAGCAAAGCATATGTTTAATACCCCAGAATCAGTTTCTCTTATCTTTTTCAGAATTTGGATTTAATTTGGAATATTCAACATCTGACATTCATGTGCAGACTGTAAATACACGCACAAACACGTACAAAAGTATAAGTAATGAAACAGACAATGCTTTTATAAAAAGGTTTATTTACAATTATCAACACTACCTTAATGCAACAGCCTTGTTATGCTACTGTACAAGACACTGTCAAAACCAATTACAACATTGCAACCACCACAAATTCAATACAGTGGTCCAAATTCTTTAAGATATGTCACCAGTGTAACTGTGTTTAACTGTAACACCACTTCAACTGGGACTGCAGAAAAAGTGTCATCATTATCAACAAGAATCTAAGTTGGTTTTGCTTTTAACACATTTTGCTTTAATTGTCCCAACTCCTTTCCTGCTACTGAACAACAAAGACTTACATTCTGGGATATGCTCCAGAGCTTTAAGACAGGAAAAATTGTTTACAACAGGCATCTTATAAGGCTGAAGGACTGGGTGTTCCATGCACATGACACATAAATAAATGATGATGTATTTATCTGTTTTTAATGTTTTTTCAATGGCTTTGCATATATAGGCTCCATGACGTCAAACACAGCATAGGCACCAAGTCCAACTAGAAGAAAAATTCCAGTTATGGCCACAATAGCAGTCCTTCCCACAATTGTATCGTCATACTGAAAAAAGAGCATAAACAGTATTCAGTAATTCTCAGTTATCTGATTAGAGAAGAACAACATACTGATAATTCTAGGTAAAGGAGGGTGATTGTGTTTAACAAATTTCAATAATAAATGGTGATCAGTCATATATATTTACTGCAAGTTAATTTTGTTAGTACTACTTAGCATATCAACTGAATTAATTTTCAAGCAAAGCAATGATGATTCAATAAAATGCTCAGTGCTTTTTATTTTTTGGGACTAAATTTGTGAAACTTAAAATATATTACTTCAAATCTAATAAATAAATGTTATAAATGTTGCTATTCACCAAAATAAATAAATAAATAAATACATAAATAAATAAATAACTAGAGGATCAGAGAGGCGATACCGCCTCCGAATATTGTACCACCAGCTGGAGCAAGCGCATTCGTATAGACCCCCACATACACAAAATAAGGGACACAGCCACCAGTTTAGTGCTTGACAAGCTGTAAAAATGCAATCAACAAGAATTTTCAAAATATGCAAAAAAATTTTTTTATTTTAAAATGGTACAATCAAAGTTAATTCATCGTAAGGTAGGTCAAAGGTCAATTTCAAGGTCACAGTAAATTGCCAGTATATGACTTCCTTTTCAAGTTTAATAGTAACTATGGACCTATCTCTGCCAGTTTTGGAGATAAAAGGGAATCAAAATTTGCAAAGTTCAGTTCATGGTGAAAAGTAGGTCAAAGGTCAATTTCAAGGTCACAGTAAGATTGCCAGTATATGACTTCCTATTCAACTTCAATAGTAACTATGGACCTATCTCTGCCAGTTTTGGAGATATAAGGGACTAAATGTTATAATTTTGGAGTTACCATAATGTGCCATAAATTTCCTACAGAAAAAATTAATTAAAATAAAGAAAAGGTAATTTTGGTCAAAATTCTTGAAATGGGAAGTGTCTTGAAGTTCGAGATGTTAAAATTTGATGATATAATGTCATTTTTGACCATGAGTTGTCTGCTTTGCCAAGCCTTATGTTTTATTTTTCTGGAGTTCAAAATTTATTATCCATTACCGTACTGCGCATTTTGCTTTCACCACCAATATATACTTTTTGATACAGCGTAACTTTGGAGATAGAAGGGAAGCAAAATTTGCAAGTTCAGTTCATGGTGGAAAGTAGGTCAAAGGTCAATTTTAAGGTCACATTTAGATTGCCAGTATATGACTTCCTATTCAACTTCAATAGTAACTATGGACCTATCTCTGCCAGTTTTGGAGATAAAA